CCTGCCTTATCCTCCTGCTTCCTTCTCCCTTGGATGGGAGTCATCCCTGCCTTGTCCTCCTGCTTCCTTCTCCCACCAAACAATGAAAGGGGTTCAGTAGTTGATGGATGAGGCCAGAGATGGGACCATCTCCTCATTTCTGTATTTCCCAGGCTGCAAAAGGCATTTTTGTGGATTTGTGCATCCTGGGTTTATAGGACCATATCTATACAGTTACACTCAAACTCCAGCTATACTTAGCAAACCAGTTCTTAGTGTTCTTCAGCCTGTATTACAGATCTCTAGTCACCCTGTGTCTCCTGTTGGGAATTTCTTTGTGCCGGTACAAAAATGGACACGAGGAGTCATCTTCAAAATCCATAGGCAGGAATAGGCAGCCCTGTGCCTGGAAGGTCCCACAGCCATCATCCCTCTCTTGGTTTTCACGTGGTCCTTGGAATCCTTATTTGACTTTTCTGAGTGCTCACAGGGATGGTACATTAACTCTGTCACATCTCCTGGAGTTTGAGTGATCTCCTCACCCTGCTCTCCTGCAGGAGTGGTAATAAAGCCTTGACTCATAAGAAGATTCACGAGAAGGATGGAAAATGCCTTGTTCTCCTTGCCAAGTTCTGTCTGCCCTCCATCTGCCATCCCTTCTTCTCAAGATCTAGAGCTCTGAAGGAGGTGATCTTGTTGTTTGTGTGCCAGTTGGATCTGTAGTGAGGAGAGTTAGGAAAGAAAAGAGATTGAGGGAGCATATTGTGATTTTTTTCTTCTCAGTTCCATGTCTGGGCTTTGCAGCAAATCCATGTTCATTGTTCTGGCACCTTGGGAAGTTTAGGAGTTAAAAATGCTTTTGATGAGCCACCAGGATGATTGAGTTACATGAGAGGGCTGCCTTTGGAGGGGAAAAGGCTGAAGACTTATTTCTTTAAATGAAAGCTCAGGAGTAATTGGATGTGCTGCACTTTCCTTGTCAGGGCAGGCGATCCGTGACAGCGTTCCAGGTTCAAAAGTTCCCAACTTCAGAAATCCAGCTTCAGAAACGGGACTTCAGTCAAATCAACTTAGGTCCTACAGGCCACTAGAATTTCCGTTAGGTGTGTTTTTATCTTCTTTTCTTTCTTTTTTTTCGAGGTTGCAGCAAAAGTTAGGGCAACTTGAACTCTTTGTAGTTAAGATTTGAAAGAGTCGAGATTGATAAATCTCACGTCACAGCCGGTTAAAACTTCTCCAGAAAAACTCAACCACTGGCCTCGACCGAACAGTTTTGGAATGTGGGATTTCTGCCTGGTGGGTAAATGGGGGCAAAATTTTTTGTGAAATCAAGTTGCAGCCTTTGCTGTCCAAAGCAAAAGGGTACAAACTGCAGGTGTAGGGAATGCCAGGAGAAGAGGGAAATGCTGTTGGAGCACTCCAAAGAAAATAAGCCCTTTTTGAGCCTGGCATTTTTGGGAGGTTGCCTGCTGAGGTGGTTTGGAGGTGCACTTTTGTGCTGCCAGTTCTGTCGTGTGTGTGTCTTAAAGTTTTGGACCAGGATTGATCTTTGAGGCGTGCAAAGTACTTCCCGTGTGCCACAGTTGACCTGAAGTATTTGGTTTCCTGTTTTCCCTCGTTTTCAGCCTGCTGGAAACCATGTCTCACTACACGGACGAGCCAAGATTTACCATAGAGCAGATAGACCTTCTGCAGCGCCTGAGACGCACGGGAATGACCAGGCATGAGATCCTCCACGCTCTGGAAACCTTGGATCGCCTCGACCAAGAGCATAGCGACAAATTCGGGAGAAGGTCCGGCTACGGGGGCGGTTCCTACGGCAACAGCACCAACAACGTGCCGGCCTCCTCCTCCACGGCCACGGCCTCCACGCAGACCCAGCACTGTGGGATGTCCCCCTCGCCCAGCAACAGTTACGACACCTCCCCGCAGCCTTGCACTACTAATCAGAACGGGAGGGAGAGTAACGACAGGTTGTCCGCCTTCAACGGGAAGATGTCGCCCACCCGGTACCCCCTGGCCAACAGCCTGGCCCAGAGGTCCTACAGCTTCGAGGCCTCCGAGGAGGACCTGGACATCGACGACAAGGTGGAGGAGCTGATGAGGTTAGTGGAGGTCTTGTCGCTTGGATCTGTAGCGGGGAGACTCAGGAGAGAAAAGAGGTTAAGGGGGAGCGTATTGGGATTTTTTTTCAGTTCTGTTTCTGGGCTTTGCAGCAAATCCGTGTTTGTTGTTCTGGCACCTTGGGAAGTTTGGGAGTTAAAAATGCTTTTGATGAACCACCACGAAGTTTGGAAGGGTAGAGAGAGAAGTGCCTCAGAGGAGTGTGTGTGTTGGAGGAGCGCTGTGGTAGCCACAGAGGGTGGGAAAACACTGGCCCAGGTTGCCCAGAGAGGTGGTGGATGCCCCAGCGCTCCAAACATTCAAGGTCAGGTTGGTCTGGACTCTCAGCAACCTGATCTAACTGAAGATATCTCTGTTTATTGCAGGCCTTTAAAGGTCTCTTCCAAAGCCCAAACCATTCCATTGGGATTCAGTGATTATCAGGAGAGCAGGAGCTGCTTCAGAGCTGTTCCCTGCCAGTTCCCCAAGGGTCACTATCCTAGAACCCCTCACCTGCCCCTCAGCCTTGTGTAGACAGCCCCTGGCCCTGTGGGTATCCCACAGTCTTGCTGTTGGAATATTTTTGCCCATGCTGTGCCAAAAAGTGGGATTGCACTAATTTTCCACCCTACTTTTATTTAGAGGAATTCTGAGTGTCAACTCACATGACTCCTCCTCTACTGCTTCATACCCCTTGTAATTCCTTCCATATAGAGGGAGAGTAGGGAATCCTGCTTGGATTGGTCAGTGCTTTCCAGTGGGATCTGCAGAGGATGGATGTTTCCTGTTTGTAATTTGTGGCAGGGATTTGCAGAGGCTGCAGAGTGGTGTAGGGAAATGCAAACAGTAAAGAAGAACAGAAGTTTTCAGTCAGAGCCAGTTGTTGGGTTTTTTCCCCAGCCTGACCTTCCTTTACTTCTGGCAGCTTCTTTTTCAGGCAGAGATGAAAGGAGGGGATTATACTCCTGAGGATGAAAGCCGGAGTCAGTGGGCTTTGAGAGCACAAAAAAAAATAAGAGGAAAGGCCAAATGTCTCAAAACAATTTTGGTCATAATGTTGGACTGTCTTTCCCCCCCACCCCGAAATTGCAACATTCACAAAGTACCTGTGTGAGAACTGGGGTTCATAAGCTCCAGGGTGGAAATATGTTTGGAGATTTAGGGTAAAGGTGTGGCTTTTGAGGGAGAGGATTAGAGATGAGCAGTGAGAAAAGCTGATCACCCTCATTCCCTGCTGGATGATGGAAGGTATGTGCAGCAGAGAGCCAGGTTCCCATGGCTGAGGTTTAATCATCCCGTTGAGTTTTGGGTTCCTATGCAATAAGTCTCAGGTAATGCTTTTAGTGCTTATTTAAACCGAAATTACGTTTATTTGCAGGCATATGGAAGATGAGTGTTGGGTACAGAAATAAAAATGAACCCACAACATGGCATTTATTTTGCATTTAGATTTACAAGCTCGAGTCTGCCTTGAATGCGGCTGTGAGGGGAGAAGGGAAATGACCAAATAATAAAGCCTAATAAAGGCTGGTTTTAATTGTCTGCCCTTCTCAGGAAGGGAAGGAGGAAGAGAAAGGCAAAATATGTGTTTAATGCGATTGAAATTTGCTGTATATCACAGTCCCTGTGCAACCCCCAATTTATTTGCTTTTTAGCAGAGTTTTAGCCCCTTCTGAGCTACCTGTGCAGACCTTGTAAAATTCATACAAATACCTCAGTTCATTCAGTGCAAAATCAGGACTAAAGTAGAGGACTAAGGGGGTTCAGTGAGGGGACAGAGGTTGCAAAATCTCTTTTCCTTCAGATCTTTTCCTTGAAAGGCTGGAGGAGGTTGGTGTGTGCAAATTCATTTGGGTAACTAACCATGCAGCCCCTGCTATCCTTTATTTTTTATTTTTTGTGCCTCATTTTTATGACTGAGGTTTTTATGCTGGTATGAGAGATTTATTCATCCCTGTGTAATGAAACTTTGTACATTCCATATGGCAGTGCTGCACCTAATATGAATTATATGGGACATGAGTCATCCATTCTCCTGCTCCTGTACTCGGATCAAACGTGACACTTGTTAAAAGAAGTGTCCATTGCTGAGGCACTTGGACTGTTTTGCTGCCAGCCTTCCCCACTCCTGATCCCCTAAATAAAGGAAATAAAGCCATTTTCCACCTTCATGGTGCACTTTGGCCTGTCCCTCTTTTTGTGTGTCCTGTTGTTGTTTTGTTTTGGTAGGAGGGACAGCAGTGTGATAAAGGAGGAAATCAAAGCCTTCCTGGCCAACCGGAGAATCTCCCAAGCAGTTGTTGCACAGGTAACAGGTAAGAGCTCGGGGGGGGGAGTCCCTTCTGAATTTTGGGAAGCTGTGTCTAAACTGCCTCTCAGAGCACGGTGCAGATGTTGGAATATCACTTGGCTTTCTGCATTGCAGTGCAGATCTGTCAGCTTAGTCATGATAATGTATGCCTTTGATTTAAGACCCATTGTCCTGCACATCATGGAACTTCCCCAGTGAATCACTTTTTCCTTTTTTTTTTCCCATTTTTTTTTTCCTGTGGCTTGTGCTTGGAGATTTTATTTTACGGCATTAAAATAAGCCCAAAGTTCTTATCTTAAAATGAAAACGGTTTTCCTTAATTCTTAAATTGTTTGTTGAGTGCAGCAAATAGATGCATATCTGCATCTCTGTGTATGGAGAGGGAGAGAGATAATGTACATTTATATTCTAAAAAGTATATGAATAGTCAGGAGATGCAGCTGTAACTGGTATCACTGCAGCCAGGAGTCGGATTATGAGAGTTGGAAGGTTTGTCCATCACTTGCCTTTGAGTCACAGTTAAAATGAGATCTGAGTTTGAGGGGTGACCAGACCAGCTTTGATTTTACATAGAAAGAGGAGTTAGTTGTGTTTGTGCCCCCTGCCCTGAACCTTCTCTCTTTCACATGCAGGACGAGTGAACACACTGCAGTGATATCCCACCTTCCCTGGGTGTGTTCCCAGAGCTTTACACAAAGAGTGACAAAGTCCTGCTGCTCCTTCATGGGGTGGGGTGTTATTAGTTGTCCTTTACAGGCTCACACTGCTTATCCAGAACACTGTGGCTGGTGGCATCTTCAGAATCACTTTGGTTGGAAAAACCCTCCAAGACCATCAAGTCCAACCATGCTCTCAGCACTGACAAGGCCACCACATGTCCCCAAGTGCCACACCCACACGGCTTTTAAATCCCTCCAGGGATGGGGACTCCAGCACTGCCCTGGGCAGCTTCCTTTCCATGAAAGAATTGTTCCCAATATCCAACCTAAACATGCCTTGGTGCAGCTTGGGGCTGTTTCTTCTTGTCCTGTCCCTTGTTCCCTGGGAGCAGAGCCCAATTTCCCCCTTGACTCCCCCCTCCTGTCAGGTTGTTGCAGAGCCAGAAGGTCTCCCCTGAGCCTCCTTTTCTCCAGGCTGAGTCCCCCCAGCTCCCTCAGCTGCTCCTGGTGCTCCAGCCCCTTTCCCAGCTCTGTTCTCTTCCCTGGACTTGCTCAAGCCCCTCAATGTCTCAGGAGGAAAACTCAATAAAATCCCAAAGCTCAGTCCCGTGTTACACCTGTAAGACTTAGTAATTTTTTAACCCAAGCTTGGATGAAGATCTTGAAATAGATAATTTTTAAGGTTCCTTGGTGACTGGAAATGCCAAATCAGCAGGAGGGAAGTTGTTCTCTTATATTTCCAGTATTTGAAATGTCATAAGAACCCATCTGTCTGGGAGCTCTGGATTTGCAGACAGCTGAGGTGGGCAGGCAGGAACAAGTGCTGGAGACACGGAGCCTGGAATTCCTTCCACGTCTCCAACTCTCCTCTGTGATCTTGGGCAAAATTCCTTGTCCTTCCCTGGTTTCAGTTTCATCTGGAAAATCATGAGATTAACATTTTGTGTAAATGTAAGGGATGTTTTCAGCCTTATTAAATGTTAGCACTAGTATTTCAATAATTAAACTCTAAGTCAAGTTGCTTAAATTGTACCTGAACTCGGAAATGTTGGTAGTTAGTGGGTCACTCTCCTGCTTTTGTGCATTCCCTGCCTGAATGTAGTCCTGGAATAACCCATCTCTGAATTAAGCTCTGTACAGCACCCTTCATGTCTGCCAGCAAGTCAGACCATCTTCCCCTGCAGGAGGAGTAATGCACAGAGGGAAAAACTGCAGGAAAGGAGTCTTTCCAAAGCAAGCCAATATTTCTTTTGATCAGTGGGGCCACTGAATCAGAATCACCACACCAAAACTAATGTATTGATGAAAGGAATGGATCTAATTATAATTAACTAGGTGGGCACATGTCTCTGATACCCCTGGATCAGGCTGTAGGAAAGTCAAGCCCAGTCTCTTCACAGCTGGTGGTTTTTCTCCTCCCATCCTGAGCTGTCTCTCTTGGATTTCAGTTGGCATGGGGTTGGCATGTAGCCTTTGGGAGCTCAGATTGTTTCCTCCCGTGAATAAACGACTCCATCCACTTCAGACATGGCTGACTAAATTTCACACCCATCCCACTCAACTCAAGGGGAATCCAGGATGAGCTCCCACGGTGATCAGAGAAATACTGGAAGATGTCACTGGAGAGAAGGAGGACTGAACTAGTGGCACTGTGTTATTATCCTGTTGTCAGGCCAAGTCAATGGGAAACCAGGTGGATCTTTGCAGTTGATCCCTGTCATCCTCTGTAGGAAGGTTCCAGGAGCCGATTGATTTTAAATATAACCCACAGCCCTGTGTAAGCAAATGTGTAGTTCTTCCATGGCACAATCAAGTACATAGTTATGGCTTATCTGAAAGAAATAGTGAATCTCAGAGATGTTTGAAAGGACCAGATTAAAGAGCGTGCTCAGCACTACCAGGGAGAAACATCAGCTTCCTCTCAAAAGCACAGGGTGGTGAGGAGGGACTAAAATAGCTCAGGACAGAGATCCAGAGCAGAGAGCACGTGTCCCAGGGCTCTCACTTGCAGAGTTTTTTAGGCCTGATGAGTGCTGGTTGACTTGTGTGTTCTTCAGATGTCTCCAGCATCCAGGAGGCTCCCGAGGAATGCCTGGAAAAATGCTTTTGGTTCATTAAAATAACAGTTTGTGTAGACAGAGGCAATGCTTTGCAGAATATATGATCCCAACTGGCATCATCTCAGTATTTACAGCCTTAGTCTTAGTGGTAAAGGTGTTCTGTAAATAGTTACTTATACAAGAGGAAAATGAATAAATTAGCTTTTAGGCTTCAGCCCTTCTGCTCCAGGAAGAGGCAAGAAAGAAAAGAGAAATGTATGGCTGGCTCTGAACTCTCTCAGGGAAGTTATTTGGCTTGGCTGCCCCTGCTGCCAACTTTGTCCTTTCCCTCTCTACCAATTCCTTTACTACTCTAAAAAATTGTGTGTGTGTGTGTGTAATGGGAGGGGATCATGGCATGGGGAGGGGGAAAGCAATAACAGGGAACCTGAACAGTGATATTGGACCTTTAGCTTGGAGTCCAGAACTTGGCTGCCTTGTCTTAATTATGGCTGGGTTTGAACCGGCCAGATTGGACGTACAAGTGATAAACTTGAGCTGAACCAATGTGTTTGGACATCTTCAGGCTGCAGATTTCTCATCAGCTCATCAGAGGCTGTGATGTTTCCCCAGTGCTTACAACCTTATTTATCCCCTCTCTGTAACTTGCCCTTGGGGCGGAAACCTGCAAAACTTCCATTTTGCCTTATTTTGCTAATTCTTCGAGCTCCTCTTTCATTCAGAAATCTATTTCTCCTTTTTCCCATCTTAATTCTCATATTGCAAAGCACTTAACAGGATCCACGTTCCTACCCCAGCCTCTGCATCAGTAAACAGCTTTTCCTTTTGTTTTTCCTGCTGTAGCACAAGGGAAGTGATGGAGAGGGAGGATACATGACAGAGGAACATGGAGCTGAAGGTTAAAGTCAGCTGTTGCAGTAGAACAATTTTTTAGGCTCTCTTAGCCCATATAAAATTACCAGAAACTTTAAAAATGATTTAGATAATGAATCTGACGGGAAAAAATTAAACCTGGAAGACGTTCTATGGAGTACTGGGAGGAGAGGGCAGGTTGGAAAATAGTAACAGAATTTTAAATGGTGACTTGAAAATAAAGGAATGATTGATAAGAAGCAAAACCTTAACATAACACTTATTAGTGCTGGTCCTAAAAACAGGAGCTGCTTTTTATAGAAACTTTTTTAATGGTGTCTGTAATAAGATAAACAAGAAGCACTTGGGTTGGGCTCTGTATAAATAATCTCCTACTGATAAGAAAAATGACAGTATAAACAGGAGCTAATAATAGTTCCTGCGGAATTTCCTATCTTGGATTTGGAGCTGCTTTTACCAGGAGCTGCAGCTTTGCTCAGGGTGGGGGTTCAGCCCCATGTGGGGCAGGTGAGGGGCCAAATTTTTATCAGCCCTAATTTGAAGTCTTGTGCTGCAATTTGCTTTAATTGCCACCAGAATTGTGTCTGGGCATCAATTGAGTTCTGGTCAGAAGGCAAAGGATAAAAAGAGAAATGTAAACTTGCAAAGAGATGCTGCCTGAGCTTCCAAATGGGGCTGGAAAGTGGGGGAAGTGTTTTCAGGAACTGTTTGTTCTGTGCTACAGTAAAGGAGAGAGGGAGGAGTATTCAGGGATGAGCCCTTTGCAGGTGGGAATAAATATTTTAATGGATGATGCCTCTGCAAGGTTTGGAAATACTACCTTTCCCATTTTTTACACATAGGGAGTGAAGGAACCAAAAAAAAAAAAAAATCCTTATTTTCCTGAGGTTGCAGAGCAGAAATTTGAATTCAGATTTTTTAAAAAACCAAACCATTTAAAAAACCAAACCAAAACCCAAGAATAAAAACTCAGAGGTCATTTTTTGTTGTTGTTTTTAAATACACACAGAGCTTTGCAGGGTGCAGTTCTGCTCACCTTCCCAGTTATTCTGCTGGTACAGCCCAGCCCTGTCCTACTGTCTCTGTCATAATTGAGATGAGAACTCCAGGAGCTGGCTTTCCATTATGCTAAACACACACAGCATCCAGTGCAGTGGAGGGCAGCCTTGGAGCACTGCTGGAACAAATAAAATCCCTGAAGGTTTGGAACCCACACACAGGGATGCTGAGCAAATGCAAATACAAAGGGAAACTTAACTAGTCCTATTGTATGAAGAGAATTCAGAAAGTTACTGAGTACTGATCATCTGAAATGGCATGCCACAGGATTTTGAAAAACATTTTCCTTCCATCTTCTCTTTTTAAACTCATGACAACACAGGGAAAGCTTTTTCTTCCCCCTATGATTTTGATCTTTGCAGGTTTTCTGTAAACAAGCTTTGCTAATCTCCTTAAATTGATAGGTGTCCTTTGCAAGCACTTGTTCTGTGGATGTAGGACTTTGCTTACAAAGTGAAGAATTAAAACACAGTCAGTTACTTTCTTCTCCGGGTCTGACGTGTTCCAGGTGCTTCTAAAAACCTCTCCTGAAAGAAACATGAAAGAAATGCAAAGCAGAGCCGCTGAACAAATCTGTGAAGGTGAAAACCGGTTCCCAAAGACTCGCTGAGTAGCAGCGTTGAGGGTTATGAGGAGATTTGTACTTCAGATACCAGTTGCCTCCTCTTGATGCTGTGTTTTGCCATTTCTTTTATGTATTTGAAAGGGAAACTCTTTCCTCAGATAACTTGTGTAGGAGCCAGCAGGGCTGGCCGGCGGAGTGAGTGCAACCTGCCACCTCCGTGGGGTTTATTGTTAGGAAGCAGAGCCTGCCACGGGAAGGAGTGATGTGTGACACAAGAAGTCAGCATTTTAAATTGCAACAGCCCTTTGTGAACACCGCTTTTCTTCAGTGTTTTCTGTGACAAAACTTGTTGTGCTCACAGCCATGTGTTCGTGGCCCTGCTGTTGCTGGGCCCAGAGGATGACAGTCTTCCCCATTCAGTTTGGGAGTGAATTTCCTCCACACAGCTGGATTTTCAGTATTCCAGAGAACTTATTTCATTAGGCTGCTTCTGGCAGCAGGAGGATTTCTTCTTTTCCTGCCAGTGCAATTTCCTAGAGGGGAATGATTACAGACAATGTGCCGGTGTGGTCCTGGCCGGCAGTACCTGGCCCTGGCCCTGAGGCACTTGAGATGCAACAAACTCTGATGTGACAGTTTGGGGGGGGGTTGTTTTTTTTAATTGAAAAGAGGGAAGGATGGATATGGATTAGGACATTGGGATCTAGGAGATCCTGGATCAATTCTGCTACGGACTTCACACATGACCTTGATCAGTGAAGCCGTTGAAATGCGGTTTTTGGGCCTCTAAACTGAGCTGAGGTACAGATAAGTTTTATGCCTTAAGAACATTTTGCAGAAGCAGCTTTTTGAACTGTGAGGACTCTCAGTGAGTCGAAGGATCAGCTGCTGTGGCTAAATGACACCAGTTATTTTGCCACAGAAGGATTCCAGCTCAGGTACAGCTCTGTATCGGAGGACTTTGGTGCAGTTCAGTACGTTGTGACAGTGCAGAGTTGCTGGTAAGACAGATACAGGTTAAAAGACAAAGAAAGACATCAACCTGTTGGAACAAGCCCAGAGAAGGGCCATGGAGATGATTAGAAGTTTGGAGCACCTCTCCTGTGAGAACAGGCTGAAGGGATTGGGGTTGTTCAGCCCGGAGAAGAGAAGGCTCTGGGGAGACCTTATTGTGGTCTATAAGAAAGATGGGGACAAACTTAGCAGGGCCTGTTATGACAAGGGGTAATGTTTTTAAACTGAAGGAGGGTCAGTTTAGATTAGATAGAATAAAGAAGCTTTTTACAATGAGAATGTTAAAACCCTGGCACAGGTTGCCCAGAAAGCTGGTGGATGCCCCATCCTTGAAAACGTTCAAGGTCAGATTGGATGGGGCTCTGAACAACCCGACCTAGTCAAAGATGTCCCTGCTCGTTGCAGGGGATGTTGGACTAGATGACCTTTAAAAGTCTTTTCCAACTCAAATTTTTCTATGATTCTATGAAAGTGGACATGGCAACACCCAGCTTGAGTCTTTTGGCTCCTTCCCCTTTGCGCTGTGCCGAGCACATGGTCTGGAGTGGTCACATCTGTACCACGTTGTGACTGTGTCAGGCAGCCTTGTGAGCAGAATTCGGATTTTCCACTTGCTGAGGACATCTAATCTCTGTTTATAATTTTTATCTAACAGTGCTCTGTGTTTATATCTTAGTTTGTTGTCCAAACACTCAGCACACACTAATTCACTGCAGTAAGTGTAAGTGGACTGTAGTAAACAAGTAAATGTGTGGTGCTGTTACCCAGTGATTGATGGGAGCTGGGCAGCCAAACCTTCGTGTCCCACAGCACTGTGTTCAAAAAATGGCTTTTATAAATCATAAGAGTAGGTCAAGAGCTGCAAATTTTCAAAACTTGGTCCCTTCACTAGTGATCAAGCATCTAGATGGCATGATTTCAACTAGACTCTGGAAGCCTTGGTCTGGGCCAGAGGATATCACCAACTTACATTGACTTCTTTTGGTATTAACTTGTAACTTCCACTGTTACTTGATGTAAACTTGGCAGGATCTAAGATTTCTGCTTGGTTGAATAATTCCACTTCCCTTGTAATATAAACTCAGTTTTAGATCCCAGTGTGGGCCCTGGGGGTAGGCAACTCTTGGCTGCCCCAGCTGTTCCTGAACTCTTTCAGTTGTGGGCAAGGCAGTCTCTGGGAATGGGTTTTAAGAAAATCAGGGTCTGTTTTGTGGGCACAGCCCTGGTGAATAGCAGTAAACTTCCGCCTCGGAAACAAAACATTCCTACCCCTTTTCCCCAGGATAATTAAAACTTCATAGCCTCCAGAATTCCGTTTCAGGAAGAACAATTAAGAGTATAAACCCCGTGATTTTAAAAATCTGGTTGGAGTAAACCCACCTGAATATGGTACCTGAGAGTCAAGTTGAGACATTCTGAACTTAACTACCTCCGGTGTTCAACACAGAAAAAAAGCACAGTAAAACCCCCAGATTGGAAGCAGTAAAACTACAGGGGGTTGTTTTTCATGAGTTAAATATGATTATGAGATCTTACAAAACCTTGATGCATCTCAAGAGGGAACAGGGAGTTGGGTTTCTGTGTGAGAACCAGCCTCTACCTGCCTGGGCATTATCACCAAGCAGGTGGTGGCACAGGTGGTGTTGGCAGTATATTGTTACTTGGAGCACCTCCTAAAACTTCACTTCTCAGGAGAGTTGAGCTGTTGTTAACCCTTCCTGGTGGCTGAAGAGCCTTGTGGAAAGCACGGGGAGCTGTTCTGCCTGAAGTTCTGCTGTAGTTATTCAGCAAACTATACATTTGTTGATGTTGCCAAGTGAACCTGCAGTTCACCTCCTGGTGCACTTTTAAACCTCTTGTTTTGTTTAGTTTCCCTCCTAATCACTTTTTGCCCTTTCTGCATTGATCCTTCATTCGCTGTCAGGCTTTGGAAATAACTCTGTTATCTTCTACAATTTTTTTCCCCTTTTTACTCTTTTCTTAGAAATCTTGCTATAAAAACTGGACTGTTTTGTCCCTAGTCATGCCTGGATACCTGGAGCTTGACTCCTGCTTTGCTGGCAGACAGCTGCCCTTCCTGGGTTGTTTTCTGGCCGTTGTTCCAGCTGCTGACAGTTGGTTTGCTCCATTTCTGGGCTGATTTGATCTGTATCACACAAACTGTTTCTGCGTTTATCTCCCTCATTCAAGCATCGAGTGATAACGATCTCTTAACTATCGTTATATGTGTGTAACAGTGGGGAAGGGACTTGTTCCCATTTCACAGATGAAGAAGTTTAAGAATCAGAGAAGTTGTGGACAATTCGAGTCACTGGTAGATTTGGCTTCCCAGTTTGCACCCTTTTTGCCTGTGGGTCGATTGGGCAGATTCCAGGATGTCCCTTGAGTAAGGATGAACAAAACACCAGGGAGAAGTTAAGGCAGTTTGGGGCAGGGCAGGGAGGCTTCAGCTCTGCTTTCCCTGGGATCGAAGCACTGCAGGTTCCTGGGCTTTGTGAGGCAACACCCTTTATCAGTATAAAAACCACCTAAAAATGTTTTATGAATAACAAGTTTTCTCTTTCTCCTTTTTTTGTGTTTGGTTCTGGTTTTTCCAGGGATCAGTCAGAGCCGGATCTCCCATTGGCTGTTGCAGCAGGGGTCGGACCTGAGTGAACAGAAGAAAAGGGCATTTTACAGATGGTACCAGCTTGAGAAGACAAATCCTGGTAAACAAACACAGCCTAAACATCTCCTGCTGTTTATTTATGGAATGGAAACCTTTTGTCACTGTTATATCACTGATAATTCACTCCTTGTTTGGGGTACTCCAGAGGTTCTTCCTCTGAACAGTTTAATTTTTAGGAGGGTGGGAACAAATTTTCACTTTGCTTTTCACCAAATGATCCAGAGCTGACTCATCCAGATCTATCTCATCCATAGCTGTCTGTCCAGCTCCTCAGTCATGGATATTTGCCCTGCCCTCCCACCACTAACTAAATCTGGGAATCAAAAGCAGTCAATGGAGTTACAGTCAGTTAATTAATGAAATACCTGCTGAGGCTCTTCAGAATGAACAATTAGAAAACATTAATAATGGCTGCATAATACAGAGTTGCAGCAAAAAATCCACAGTTTGGCAGAGAGGATCTTTGGGATAACTTCAGAGGGTTTTGGGTTGGATCTCCTGGATGGGATGTTGATAGTTCCAGTGATAAACTGGAGATGTGTCTTTCAAATCCCACCTGCCTCTCCAAATCTCAAAATAGATCTTGAATATAAAAGGAGAAGTAAAGCTCCTCATTATCTTTAACTAACCAGCAATCTTCGGCATCACAGTTGAATTAATTTCCTCACATTGTTCTTCTCCACAGATTTTGTTTGACCACAATTCTTTTTTTTTTCCCTTTAGCAGTTTTATTGTAAAGATCAAAATATTTACGTTTAATTTCCTTTAAACAATGGCGTGATTAAATTAACTGTGTAATTGTTTTAAGGAATTTAAAACTCAGGCTCTCTAATGCGAGCTTGGCTTCAATACCCAGAACTCTATTAAGAAAAATTCCAGTGAAAACAAGAGTCTCAAAACCCCTGCTTTGTGTGTGAGCTGAAAATCAAGAGGCTCCAGCTGCCAGTTGGCCTGGGAATGCCTCAGATTTAAGTTGGGTGGGTTCAAAGTGACAGCTGAGCCTGTTTCTTCTGGTAAGCATCTAGAAATTTGTTTTAAAGAATGAAAGTGCCAAGGAGCCTTGGTTTTTGCACTGGCTCAGGATCAGCAAAGTTCCTGGGTACAACCATCCAGTATCAGCTCCTTGGAGAGGCTGGGATTGTGCCCTGCAAAGTGACTCCCAGACATTTCTCTTTGATGGAAGGTGTTGCCTCCAAAGTAGTGGAGAGACTTAGAGGGTTTTGGAAAGTGTATTTTGGGGAAAAAAAACCTGCAAAAATCTGCTCTAGATGAAACCTGTTGTGTGGATCTTTCCTATCGCTTTGCATCTTTTCTTGCCAGTGTCACATGAAGCTGTTTAAGAAATCACGTTCTGTGCTGGGATAAGAGAAATCTTGTCCAATTCAGCACTAAAATCTTTACTTCTTAACCTTCTTTCTTTCCCCATATCCACGAGCTCACATCTCCTTTGTCCTTTTGCTCTTGAGAAGTGTCTTAAGGAAGGAAGACTTTCAACACTGAAGGAAGTGGCTTAAATTGAAATGAGTCCACGTGAACCTCTGCTTTTCTTTATACACACATGGAAAACCTTCTGGAAGAGGGGTTGTTTGAGTGTAAGCTTTTTCCCAATAAGAAATCTTAAACAGCATTTTCAAGAAGTGTAAAAGGCAAATTGTTTCCTCTGCCTAAGCAAAGGGACTATTTGGATGCACTTAAATTCCTTTTAGAACTAAATAACATTTGGTTTCTTTTAAGGCACTGAGGTAAAGGGACGAACTTTCAGCTTTCCTGAAGCTGTGGGGAAAGTCTGCTCGAGGAAAATAGGGTTGTATTTATTTATTTATTGTAGGATCATCCACTGCTTTGAATTACTGCCATCTGCTATATTGCAGGTCAGAGCAGGTAGCCAGGAGATAATTAACAAGTGTCTTCTGGAAGGTACCAACCTTGTCCAAAGAATCCTGGATTTAAATCACTGTTACAAAACTAATTTAGAGCCAAAGTTTTGGATCCTACTTACTGTATCCTGTGATTAGTAGACAAACCACTACATTCTGCTGTTTCCTCTAGAGCCAGAAAATGAGGAAATCAGTGGAACTTCCTGCCATGTTCCCAAAGAAGTGATGCCATCACTGCACTCTGTGTAGAGTGTGAAAGATTGTCCTCCTTGGAGGAAACTTAAGAGATTAAATGACTGGCATGTGCTTTTTTCTATTTGCTTGCTTGCTAAGAAGTGGCATTTGGCTTTCTGTTCTCAGAATTCCCAACTTTTCCAATTCTAGCTGCTGGGAACAAAACCTCAGTCCTTTGAGTGACTGAGTCAGGTCCCTGTGCAGAACACCTGCATGTTTGAGTTACTAGTGGGCAAAGTGAGGTCTTTGGGAACTAATTAGTTCCCCAATTTCTTTAATTCCTCATCTTGCAAAGCTGGATCCTCAGAGTTAAATCCAGACTGAATTTGTGTACTGGAAAAAAACCTTTCACTTAAAATCGAACCAGTTTTGAAGGACTAGGACAGCAGATAAAGTCAATTTATAAAGTGGGAAGGAGGAATAGTTGTTTTGTGTGGAAAGGACTGGAGATCTCTTGGCAGGCCTGCAGCCTTCCCTTGGCTCTGCCAGTTTTTCTCTACAATTTGTAGAATTCACCTTTATTACCCCACTTTCCCATCTCAACAAAGGTGAGCCCTGTTCCCTGAGTGTGACACCCCTGCTTTGCCTCATAGCAGGGCCTGTCTTTTACTGTGCTTTTGTAAGCAAAAGATACCTTATAAATATATAAAAAGAGATTTTATTTTAGTTTTTTTTCAAATGTAGAATGGTGCTATATAATGCTTTTAAATCATCCACAAGCCTTCCTGCATCTGCCAACCAAAGAATTTCATGCTGGGGAACCTTAAGGCAGTTTCAGGACACTGCTGCTGTTCAGATGTTGCTCCTGTATAGAAGAGGCTCAGCAATTCCATCACTTCCATTCTTTTCCAGCTTTCTCTGGCCTCTTGAATGTGCTGTTTGTTCCTTGCTTGGGTTTGATTGCTGGTTTGCATGGGCGGTTTCTGTATTTCTCCTGTCTCTGGTGGTGGGTGTTCAGACAGCAGCAGACTGGAACGTGTCAAGAGAGACTGAAATCTCATGGACCAGGGGAAAAAAACCACCCACTTTTCCTACTGTTTGCAATAATCTTGCTCAAAAATGTCTTAATCACCATTTTCCTGGTAGGAGTGATGTCTGAGTTAATGGCAATGCTGTGAATTCCAGAGTTCTACTGGTTGTAAATTTTTCTGGGAGGAGTTGCCAATTAGGGTGAAAGGCAGTTTTCTTGTTGAAGGGGAGAAGTCAATGCTAAATGCAAGTATTTGAAAGGTCTTTAATCCAATTAATAGGGATGCTTTTCATTTAGATGGTGCTTTTTTCAGACAGGCACCACTTGTCCTGTGTTTTGTGGAGGACTGAGAGCGTTTTGGCAATAGATAAATAGTATATATTTCAGAAGCCAGTATGTGAGTGCAGAGAGTCCTGCAATGTTCTGACTGATTTTTTTCAGAGCCCATGGGTTTTAAATAAATAAATATTTCTTTTTAGATTGGTAGCTGTTACCCTGATTAGTTTGCCTGACACTGGGTCTTGGACAATGTGGAAAGTTTGTTATGGAGTAACTTTAACTTATCTCTTGCCTCTTGTAGTGCAAAGTGAAGCTGGCACCTAGAAATGATGTGTTAAAGTTACAGATGGGTACAGACTGCTTCCATTTAGGCTGGGTATTTATTTCTGCCAGTCTTCTGTAATAGGAAGGCAGCTGTGGTCACCTTGAAGAGAACCCTCTGCTCTTGCTCCTTGAACAAAAGGGAAAAAGAGAGGTAGTTATTGTCAAGATGTAGCATCTCTTGTGTTATTCCCAGAGCAGTTCTTGTTGAGCTCTAAAAGAAAAGTCTACCCAATATCAGGGGGTTTGCACTGGGAATGGATTGTTGGTGATGTGCTATTTCCCAGAGCAAACAGTCCTTGCTCTGATCCTTTTCATCCAGGGCAGGAGCTCTGGAGGGAACTTTTTGTTGTGCTGCTGCTGATCCAAATCTACCGTGGTGGCTCGGCTCGGGAGGAACTGAGAGGTGTTTATTGTGTGATCTGGGGTCAGCCTGGCTAAAAATACAGTGAGACAGCTGTTCTTATCAGTGCAGTGGAAGAGAGGTACTTGCTGCAAAGACTTGCCAGGAAATGGTTCCTTGGAGCTGGGAGATGCCTGAGGCTCGGAGTTCCCATCCTGTGCCTCGCCCCTATGGCAGGGCCTCTTTGGGGCACGTGATGGGGATCAGCAACTGCATGTGATGCTCTTACAGCAACTCCCTTTCCTCAGGATAGTGTCTGGGATGTGCCCGGAGAAGGCAGCCCTTCTCCATGAGGAATTCTGAATATAGAGAGAGCTGCATTCTGGTTGGGAAGCGCCAATCTTGCCTCCTCTCCCCAAAGTCATACCTTGCATTTGAGGGAATTCAGGTTTGCACAGAGAAAACCCAGCACTGCAGGAAAAGGTCCTCAGCACTGGCAGGGAGTGAGAGATGCCACTTTTCCTTTCCCTCTGTGAAGGCAGTTCTTCCCAGGCAGTTCACCTCTACACCCCTGAGGGATGTCTGACTGTTTGATGCATATACTGAGATGAAAATCTCATGCTGTATTTTCTCCACTCTTGTCTGCTCAGGAGAGAAGTTTCACTTCTTCTTCTTAAAAGCTGTTTGAGGGGTTTATAAAAAGATTCTGAACTGGTGACTGGGATGGAACTTAGTAAGTTATAAAGAAGTGGAGCTGGGTGGTGAGAAGATTGGGATGAAGCTTTGGAACAGCAGAATAAACGGGATCCCCAAGTGGTCATTGAATTGAGGGGGATGAGGAAAAGCTCCAGAGTTACCTTATCAAATGTGGCAGCAGTGCATGTCAGGAATCCTAAATGGTTTGGGTTCAAGATCACCTTGTTCCACCCCTGCCATGGGCAGGGACACCTTCCACTAGCCCATGTGACTCCAAGCCCCATCCAGCCTGGCCTTGGACACTTCCAGGGATCCAGGAGCAGCCACAGCTTCTCTGGGCAACCTGTGCCAGGGCCTCAACACCCTCAAAGCCAAGAATTCCTTCCCAATCTCCCATCTCTCCCTGCCCTCTGGCAGTGGGAAGCCATTCCCTGTGTCCTGTTCCTCCATCCATTGTCCCAAGTCTCTCTCCAGCTCTCCTGGAGCCCCTTTAGGCTCTGGAAGGGGCTCCAAGGTCTCCCTGGATCCTTCTGTTCTCCAGGTGAACACCCCCAGCTCTCCCAGCCTGCATCCAGGGCACAGGGGCTCCAGCCTTTGGTGCATCCCATGTCCTCTCTTTCCACATGTACATCCAATCCCATTTTGGGTCTCTTTATGCATTCAGATCCTTCCCTCTCTGTTTGTGGTACTTGCTTGTAATTCTCAGCATATTTCTCTCTTATCTGCTGCCAATATTGATGTTACCCCATAGAAAAGAGAAATAGGTAAATTGATCCAGCAGGGCTACTAAAACAAAAAAAGTGTGTTATATTCAGTATATGAACATATCAGTAGCAGCAGCAGCAGCAAATTTATGCTTTCAATGCAGATTTTTTTCAGCCTCTGTCTGAAAAATCTCAGAAAAATTTCATGGAAGGACTTACCTTGATGTTGGGCATCACTGATTTTGCTATACTCTCCCTGTGAAATTAAACCTTCAGGTAGGGAAAGTATACTGCTAAGACAATGTAGGGAAAATGAATTTCTTTTCCTCTTCTTCCCTGTCTCTTTTTTAAGTTTTATTTTTTTTTAAGGAGGGGCGTTTTGTGGTTTTTTGTTTGTTTTTCAATTTTTGAAGTGTATTCAAAGCTTGGCAACTCTACACCGACCCAACCCCCTAAAGTGTGCAAGTACTAGAAAGACCAGATAAGGAGCTTTCCTTGAAATGGCCTCCCAGTAAAATTGGCACTATAGGAAATATTTCATGTTTCAATAAAACCCAAGTAATCTGTGTGGGCTCGTTAGCTGGGAATTAGTGAGAGGCACCGTGTGTTGTGTGTGCAAGGCAGAGATTGTGGGGCTTCACTTCCTACAGGCTCCTCCTGGGTAACATTTGTAAATTGTTTGGAGCTCCACTACCTGCCACAGATGCAGTGAGGAAAATACTCTGTGTGCATTTCTGGGAGGGAGCACAGCCAAGTGCCTAAATAGCTTGTTTCTTGCTTTTTAGCTCCAGGAATTTGTTTATTGGTTAAACTCTTAAGTTCCCTTGACCCTTTTACCCCGTTGTGTGTTAGAGGAGCAGTGTTGTTTCACTACCACAGTCTGTTTGGATGATTAAATCCCAACCCAGAGGGGTTTGCTGTCTCAGCCCTGCTCTGTGTGTGCAGAGTTCTGTGAGCAGAGCTGCTCCTCCTGGGTCTGCCCGCTGCAGGAATTCCGGTGGAGCTCAGAATGCTTGTGGGATAGAGGTGGTGATTTATCTTTTCATACACTTTTTTTTTTCTTACTGTTTTGCACACAAGAACAGCTCTTCCCTCCCTGTGGGGGAACTCACTGAGCACAAAGCTGTCCTTCAGAACATGCCCTGCTTTCCGTCCTCGTGTCCTGTCCCAGGTTCCGTCCTCACCAAGGGATGTATGAAAGATCGATCTCCCAGTGTGTGCCTTGATTTATCTTGATTTATTAACTGAGAGGCTCTTGTGGAAAGAATCAGGGGTAAGTTTCAAAGGGGCCTTTCCTGAAGGCATCTTGCCAAGTCCTGTCTCGTGCTTGATGCTTTCCAGCTCAGAGCTATTGAAAGGAGAAATACGTCCACAGAAAGGGAGCAGAAGAGGAAAGTTGTGTTAATCTGCTTTCAGTGACTTTTCCAGGCCCCCTGGTACCCGTGAGCCCATGTTTGCACAGGCCACAGGTTGTGCTTCTGTTGATGGAGCTGCTTCAGGTGTTCACTCAGCTCTTTGGACACACTGAGATACTGTTGGTATAAATTTTCCATTTTGTTTCCTGACACTGCTGTAAAATTAAACAGAAACTGCTGTTTCCCATTTTGTGACAGACCAGGTGGCAGCACAGCCTAAATAAATCCCAGCTGGGGCACAGCTCACCCTTTCTGTACAACCCCTTTCTCTTGATGAAGACAGGACAGCTCTTCCTAAGTGCCTGTCAGTTCAGTTATGTCTCCTTAGACTTCCATGGTCACCTGGTACCTCTCTGGCTTGGAGGTTGGGGATGGCAACCCTTTGTATATCTTTAAGGTGTCTCTGTTGGACAATGCTTTACTTTTTCAATGTGAATGGTTTCCCCATCTGTCTTGTCTTTTTTCCATGAGCAGGAATGAAAGGATTTGCATGACTTTTAACCCCCTAAACCCCACAATATTTGTTATTCTTAGGGGCCACACTAAGCATGAGACCAGCTCCTATCCCAGTAGAAGAGCCAGAATGGAGACAGACGCCTCCCCCAGTCACAGCTACCTCTGGGACCTTCAGACTACGGCGAGGCAGTCGGTTCACGTGGAGAAAGGAGTGCCTGGCAGTCATGGAAAGGTAGGTCACTCTGGGGGTTTGGAGGTGGGTGTTTTAAAGCCAACTCAAGTGTCCTTTTGCCTGCTCTGGTGAACACCAGCACTGTTTTCATGGGTGTGTTTTAGCATCCTGCAAGCCTGTAATTGATTCTAGAGAGTAGGAGGAGCTCTTTTACCTCTTGTGTTGTTTAAAAAAATGTAGCACTGCTCTGGACAATCTCTCTTTTTTTTGTAGCCCCCAGGACATCATGTGTTTAGCTCAGTATTGGTGTTCAGCTCCTCCTTTGCTTTTGCAGAAACCTTTCCACTTAGCCTAATCCAGGCCCCCTCTTGGTGGGGGTCTGCACTCTCTTTATACTCTGCATTTCTCCTTTCCCACTTTTCCTGATTCCCCTCATATATCCTGGTATTTTATAGTTGGTACTGGCATTTCGGCAGCGCTGCGATTGCTCAGGATGCAGAACTTTGCCTAACAAGCCGTAGATTCCTTGTCCAAAAAGGCTCTTACAGCCCTTTTGCATGAGCTGGGAGCAGCACAGAGCAAAGTGGATCTTTCAAATACATCTGCAGAGTGGGAGGTGATCATTAGAGCTCCCAGCTCTCCAGTCCTGCAGAGATGGAGCACTCTGAGCCTGGGCGTGCTTTACCTTTCCCTCTGCTCGCTGTAATGTCTCTTTTGTGGATAATGTTGTATAACAGGAAAGGACCAGTGAACTCAGATGTAGTTTAGGGATGAATGCTTGTTTCTGTTCAGGGCTAAATGGCTGGGAAGAGTTTTCTCCCATCTGAGGGCAGGAGGAGCTTCCTTTCCATGGAAGCACCACGTGTGTGCTACGCTCCTCTGGTTTGCAATTCCAGCGAGACCTCGGCCAGCAGATCTGTGGGATGTGCTTTTACCATTTCTATAATGCTCCTCTTCCCTCCTGCTTGCACAAGGGCCTTGGGAACTGATTAGGAGCAGGAGCTGAGGCTGAGCTAAGACTGAAATCCTGAGCTCCCTCAGGAACACAAGATAGACACACTTCTGTGTGGGCACAGGTCATCACAGGGTCTTTGCAGGACTGGAACCAGTAACTAAGTGTTTGTTTCCCTATTCTGGCCTGGCACTGCATTGATATTTTCAGCTTAGGCTGAATGTTTCCCCAAAGGAAATAATGTTTGAAATCTGTTCTGCTTTGCTGGACTAAGCTAATGTAAAGTCCTGGGATCTGATTGTACAGGGCTGTGTTTTTCTGGTGTTCCCCTCCACAGAGACAGTACAGGATCTTTAGCACTTTAAAATGCTTGTATGACTGTCCTGGTGTGTAAAATGACAAAACCACCACAGCTCTGTGTGCCTTCAGGACAGCACCATCTCCTGATGAACCTTCTGTGTGTGAAATAGTTACTCTGAAGTAGAATTAGAGCTCTTTGGATGTGGCTGTTTTCATTTTTTGGTTTCTGTCTGTCCTGCAGTGCAATAACTGCTGTTCTTTGCTGTTTGAATCCTGGTTGTGCCTCAGACACCTCTGTGGGGAAACACAGAGCAGAGAAAGAGCTGAGCAAACCAGCAGAACCCTTTCCTCCTCCACATCTCTCCTCAAGCCTGTCTCTGCTGAGACACTCTCAGAGAACCTGTGGTGGTTTGATGTGTCTGTTAGAAAGGTGTGAGATTTGGGTTTGGTTATGGAAAGAAGCAAATCAGTGCTGACATTGGAAATCTCCCAGTTGTGAATGCAGATACATAATCACTCGATCTTAATTTTTCATTAACCTCTTTTCTTCTTTGTCGTTCTTGATTTTGTTCTCTGTGTCTTGTGCTCTGTAAGGTCTTTGCTGCAGGGGTTTTCTTCTTATTCTGCTGCTACCACATTGCCTTAATCCTGGCTTTAATGTTAATTTGCCAAGCCCTTGGTAGGTCACCGTGAGCGCTGAGTTTCCCAGCCTTGTGTGGGGTAGTGGAAATCAGGGCTGAGGAGTTTCATTCAAGGCAGGACCACCAGTAAAAGTGTTGTATGGCAATAAAACTACACCATAAAGCAAGCTGGGAATATGGTTGTTAAACTGTTGTGCTTTAGTAGGCCTAGTAGAGCTGGAGGGATGAGCTGTTTTATGTGACAGGTTCTGAAAGAGTGGGAGAAAAATGCTCTTCTGGGAGCCCCAGGAAGAAAGGAACTAATTTCACTTACAAGTCACTGGAGTCTTCCAGGCTTGTCCATAATGTGACTCATAACAGCAGCAGGATGGAGGTAACCAGATTCCTGACTGTCTGGCCCAAGAGATCGGGTTTCCTCTGTGCCACAGGGTCAGGAATAAGCATTTGGCCACTAAAATGGTGGTTGGCATTGCCTGTGGGCTGGTGCTTTTTGTTTGGTAATTTGCATTTTCCTCCCAAGGATTAAATTTTCACTGTGAATGGAGGCATCTCACTTTAATGGGCTGTTTTCCTCCAGGAAATGCAAGTTCCACTGCATTGTGTTTGTATGTCCTGCTGCTTTGGGAACCTCAGCTGATAACTGTCCAGCAAGGAGGAACAGAGATGCAGGAGACAATTCCATCCAACTCATATGAGGGTTGTAAACACCTCCCTCTCTGGTTGCCTTCTGCACTTAGAACTGACTTTGATCATTTAGTTTAAAGCCTGATGATAAGAGGGTTGAATCTAAACCTTGCTGGAAACTTTTGTGTAGGTAATGCAGAACTTCTTCCTTCTGAGTGGTGCTGGAATGCTGTATAAACAATTTTTGGGTGAGGGTGGGGGTGTTGACCTGCTCTGTCAGTTAATTGTGTGCTTTTGAGTTGTATTCAGTTGGTGAGAACTGCCACCACTAAAAGTCGATGTGTCAAACCAGCTGAGAGCACTTCAGGGGAAGGACCTGAATTTGATTGCAGAAATTAGTGGGATTTGCTTCCTGGAGCACTGAAAATGCACAGCACCAGTCAGGATTTGGCCCAAGAGCTGAATGAGAAGGGTGAGGGTTGAAGGGCTCGTTTCTCTTTTTTTTTTAAAAAAGATTGAAATCAACAAAAATTCCAGTGCAATTAATTATTATATTGGTGCCAACCTGATAGGATTAAGATTAGAGTTAGGGCCATATACTTAGATGTCTGATGTACCTAAGTGTCTGTGTACAGGGTATGTGTATTAAAGAAACTAATTGGTTTATACTGGATTTCCAGAATGCTGCTTGTGGTTTGTGTAATTCAATTCTCCAGTCTTCCCTGCTTTTTTGGAATCCTCCCAGAGTAGTTGATTAGTCTCTGGGCTTAGATTTCGGACAATGGATTCGGGTCTCTTTTCTCCCTTTATTTATTTATTTTTTTATTTTTTTAAACATCTCTCTCAATATTTATGCTGTGAAGGTTAAGAGGAGCAGTAGTTCCAGAAAGTAAAGCTCTATATTTAACTGCAGACTAGGTGTGGTTCAGACAACTGCAGTGCAAAGCTCCTTCTCTCTGCTGTGCTACTGATACCAACCTTGACCTGTTCCCTCCTGGAGCCTCCTGCCCGTGGAATATGCTGAGTTTTGAGTGTGTCGGTGTTGTCGTGTGGCTTTGCCCTCCTTTGGGAACAGAGCTAAGACTGCAAGAGTCCTTTCTGTGCAAACCTCAGGTTAAACTTGAAAGCCTGTTTCTGCTTCACTTTCCCGTTCTTTTTCTGTTACTTCTTGTCCCACAGATAATTTTTATTTTTCTTTTCTCTGCTTTACCTCTTCTTTTCAACCCCTCTCGTTAGAACCACGAAATAGAAAATTCCCTCGGGGTTTTCTCTTTTTTTTTTTTTTTAACAAAACTGTGTTGTCTTGTCGTTTTATTTTCTTTATTATTATTTTTTTCCCCGAGAGATTTGTACTTCTCCTCTAATCATGTGTTGGAGTTGAGGTTTATCTTCTTTTTCAGGCAAACAGAATAACTAAGATTGGCAGCAGAATCAGTGACTTTATACCCGTTTTAAGGCACTTCTGTCGAGTGCCATTAAAGACTGGAGGGGGGGTTGAGTGTTGTTTTTTAAGTATACACTTTATCCAAAGATTAAATTAAAAAAACTGTAAATTCTGCCCTAAACAAAAATGAATAATTCATCAGTTGAACGTATTTCAGTTTGCCTGGGGAGCAGAGACTTTGCTTTCTGGTTGAGGGTTATTTGGTTTGATTTTATGGGTCTGATTTTTTTTATTTTAACACTTGTCTGTGCTTGTGAAGCTCCTTTTGGAAAGGGTGTATTTAGATTAAATAAGACTAAGATGATATAGATACCCATTATCCCCATTTCATAGATGGCAAAACAGAGTCAGGTGTTTCACTTGGCTTTATTCCCGAGAGAAATGGGTTTAGATTTCCCAAGATAGGAGAGTATAGTTTCATGCTATAGCTGAGCTGAATTAACAGTTTGTCACCAGCTCATCCTTAGGTGTTATCCTGCCTCACCACCCTTCTCAATTCCTCCTCCTCCTCAGTTTCCCTGCTCCTGCCACCCTGCACTGTGCCAGATATGTTTCTTGTCTGATGGAAATAGCAGCCAGTTCAGCTCAGTTCAGGGAAAATAAATCCTTTTTGTTCCCCCCCTGCATTTTCCTGAATTGGTTCATCTTGCTGTGCAGGGAGGGGGTGCCAGAGCTGTCCCAGGGCAAAGGACAGAGATGCACAGCTGGGATCACGAGGAAGGGAAGTTTAACAAAAGATGGATGGATTATCCGTGGTGGGTTTTTGATCTGCTTGGTTTTGTTCTGGTTTTGTTTGGTTTGAGTTGGGTGAGTTCCTGGTTTCATTAAAAGCGTGGCCATACTGGCAGTTGTGCTGGCATCATGGAGGAGGGGTCTTTTGATTTTTCCAAGGAGCAGGAATGGATTAGTTCCATGAGGATTAGAGAGATGGAGCACCTCTCCTATGAGGAAAGGCTGGGAGAGCAGGAGGGTTCACCTGGAGAAGAGAAGGCTCAAGGGAGACTTTCGAGCCCCTTCCAGTATCTAAAGGGGCTCCAGGAGAGCTGGAAAGGGACCTGGGACAAGGGATGGAGGGACAGGACAAGGAGGAATGGCTTCC